TAGTCCCTCTACTCTCCCATAGTCCCTCTACTCTCCCATAGTCCCTCTACTCTCCCATAGTCCCTCTACTCTCCCATAGTCCCTCTACTCTCCCATAGTCCCTCTACTCTCCCATAGTCCCTCTACTCTCCCATAGTCCCTCTACTCTCCCATAGTCCCTCTACTCTCCCATAGTCCCTCTACTCTCCCATAGTCCCTCTACTCTCCCATAGTCCCTCTACGCTCTCACCAGCTCCCATAGTCCCTCTACTCTCTCACCAGCTCCCATAGTCCCTCTACTCTCTCACCAGCTTCCATAGTCCCTCTACTCTCTCACCAGCTCCCATAGTCCCTCTACTCTCTCACCAGCTTCCATAGTCCCTCTACTCTCCCATAGTCCCTCTACTCTCTCACCAGCTCCCATAGTCCCTCTACTCTCCCATAGTCCCTCTACTCTCCCATAGTCCCTCTACTCTCTCACCAGCTCCCATAGTCCCTCTACTCTCCCATAGTCCCTCTACTCTCCAATAGTCCCTCTACTCTCCCATAGTCCCTCTACTCTCCCATAGTCCCTCTACTCTCCCATAGTCCCTCTACTCTCCCATAGTCCCTCTACTCTCCCATAGTCCCTCTACTCTCTCACCAGCATCCATAGTCCCTCTACTCTCCCATAGTCCCTCTACTCTCCCATAGTCCCTCTACTCTCCAATAGTCCCTCTACTCTCCCATAGTCCCTCTACTCTCCCATAGTCCCTCTACTCTCCCATAGTCCCTCTACTCTCCCATAGTCCCTCTACTCTCCCCATAGTCCCTCTACTCTCCCATAGTCCCTCTACTCTCCAATAGTCCCTCTACTCTCCCATAGTCCCTCTACTCTCCCATAGTCCCTCTACTCTCCCATAGTCCCTCTACTCTCCCATAGTCCCTCTACTCTCCCATAGTCCCTCTACTCTCCCATAGTCCCTCTACTCTCCCATAGTCCCTCTACTCTCCCATAGTCCCTCTACTCTCTCACCAGCATCCATAGTCCCTCTACTCTCCCATAGTCCCTCTACTCTCCCATAGTCCCTCTACTCTCCAATAGTCCCTCTACTCTCCCATAGTCCCTCTACTCTCCCATAGTCCCTCTACTCTCCCTAGTCCCTCTACTCTCTCACCAGCTCCCATAGTCCCTCTACTCTCCAATAGTCCCTCTACTCTCCCATAGTCCCTCTACTCTCCCATAGTCCCTCTACGCTCTCACCAGCTCCCATAGTCCCTCTACTCTCTCACCAGCTCCCATAGTCCCTCTACTCTCTCACCAGCTTCCATAGTCCCTCTACTCTCTCACCAGCTCCCATAGTCCCTCTACTCTCCCATAGTCCCTCTACTCTCCCATAGTCCCTCTACTCTCCCATAGTCCCTCTACTCTCCCATAGTCCCTCTACTCTCCCATAGTCCCTCTACTCTCCCATAGTCCCTCTACTCTCCCATAGTCCCTCTACTCTCCCATAGTCCCTCTACGCTCTCACCAGCTCCCATAGTCCCTCTACTCTCTCACCAGCTCCCATAGTCCCTCTACTCTCTCACCAGCTTCCATAGTCCCTCTACTCTCTCACCAGCTCCCATAGTCCCTCTACTCTCTCACCAGCTTCCATAGTCCCTCTACTCTCCCATAGTCCCTCTACTCTCTCACCAGCTCCCATAGTCCCTCTACTCTCCCATAGTCCCTCTACTCTCCCATAGTCCCTCTACTCTCTCACCAGCTCCCATAGTCCCTCTACTCTCCCATAGTCCCTCTACTCTCCCATAGTCCCTCTACTCTCTCACCAGCTTCCATAGTCCCTCTACTCTCCCATAGTCCCTCTACTCTCTCACCAGCTCCCATAGTCCCTCTACTCTCCCATAGTCCCTCTACTCTCCCATAGTCCCTCTACTCTCTCACCAGCTCCCATAGTCCCTCTACTCTCCCATAGTCCCTCTACTCTCCCATAGTCCCTCTACTCTCTCACCAGCTTCCATAGTCCCTCTACTCTCCCATAGTCCCTCTACTCTCCCATAGTCCCTCTACTCTCCCATAGTCCCTCTACTCTCCCATAGTCCCTCTACTCTCCCATAGTCCCTCTACTCTCCCATAGTCCCTCTACTCTCTCACCAGCATCCATAGTCCCTCTACTCTCCCATAGTCCCTCTACTCTCCCATAGTCCCTCTACTCTCCAATAGTCCCTCTACTCTCCCATAGTCCCTCTACTCTCCCATAGTCCCTCTACTCTCCCTAGTCCCTCTACTCTCTCACCAGCTCCCATAGTCCCTCTACTCTCCAATAGTCCCTCTACTCTCCCATAGTCCCTCTACTCTCCCATAGTCCCTCTTCTCTCCCATAGTCCCTCTACTCTCTCACCAGCTCCCATAGTCCCTCTACTCTCTCACCAGCTTCCATTGTCCCTCTACTCTCCCATAGTCCCTCTACTCTCTCACCAGCTTCCATGGTCCCTCTACTCTCCCATAGTCCCTCTACGCTCTCACCAGCTCCCATAGTCCCTCCACTCTCCCAAAGTCCCTCTACTCTCTCACCAGCTCCCATAGTCCCTCTACTCTCTCACCAGCTCCCATAGTCCCTCTACTCTCCCATAGTCCCTCTACTCTCCCATAGTCGCTCTACTCTCTCACCAGCCCCCAGTTTAGCTACCAGCTCCCTCTACACTTGCGCCCGACACTTGCGCCTGACATTTGCGCCGCGATACCGAGATTCAGCTACTTGAAGATGCAATTTTTCGCGCAGAGTATTCTGGTTAAAGAAACGATAGAAAGATGGTTTTGCGCTAGGAGTCACTCGATTTGGAGGGAAGGTAATTGCTACTTCTTCCGCTCTGCGACTAGAAAAAGGCTTCGTGCCACCCGGGGCCTAGTCGCTTCGGATGGGTGCGAGCTGGTACAGGGTTTCGAGATCCGGGCGCCCGAGGCGCGCGTAGCGGCCAGGCGTCCCGATTTTGCAAGAGTGGAGCGGCAGCCCATCCGAAGCGACGGCCCACCTTGCCTGACGCCTTTAGGAGCGCTCCGAATTGGCGTTACTCACTTTCTGTCAGCTTTTAATGCAAAATACAGTAATTACATACAAAATTCGCTACAGTTTGAATCAATATGCGATCCGCGGCGCAAGTGTCTGGGACCCCCCCCCCCAAACCGCCAATTCAAAAAAATCCCCGATTTCGACTGCCCCAAAATTCGGCCAATTTTCCCGTTTTTAAAAATCCTCGATCCCGGGAAAAATCCTCGATTCCGGGAAAAATCCCCATTCCGTCAAAAATCCCCCGATTCCTGTGATCCCTGGCAAAAAACCCTATTCCGGGAAAAATTCCCCGATTCCTGGAAAAATCCCCGCTGCGGTATAGAACCGCCGTTGTATAATTCTACAAAAAATTGATATTTCTATATTTTATATAAAACGCGCCCTCAGGCTCCCAAGCGTTCCTGGGCCTGTTCGAGCTCTCGAGAATGACCATCTTCGCTGTTATTTACATTTCATACACTGTCCCTGGTCGATTTTTTGGCTGTTCATCTCCATCTTGCCCTTTTCACGCCCAGAAATAGCGGCAATAAGGGCCTAAGCAACGCGACGCTCCATTCGTCAAGAAAATGTATGGGGCCCAAATTTCGAAGCCTTATAACTTCAAAACTAAAGGGAATCTTAAAAAAGTCGATTTCCAACTTGGTAGAATGGGACACGGCGATTCTAATGATATCAAGAACTAAGAAAACTGAATTCAAAAAGTATCGAAACGAAGGCGATTTTTATTTCGTTTGAATTTGGGGGGATTTGCCGGGCTTTGCAGGGTCGTTTGTATTGGTGTGTAGCGAACGGCCCTGGGAATGAGATAGCCTATTGAAAACTTAAAATGCTTTGTAAAAATCTGCTGCTTCATTGTTAAGACATGTCCAGTATACCAAAAAATTCTCCTTTTTTCGGGCTACAAAACGAACGACCGATCAGGATGCCTACATGCCAAATCGCTGAGAAAATTACGAAAAAAGTCGAGCCACCTATCCTTTTGTCACAAACTGTAGTAAGAAAGTAAAAGGAAACGCCTGGTAGTGATTCTATCGCCAAATTATATTTTATTTCATTTATCTTTTACATTTGCCTATCCGATTACCCAACTAAAAGATTCGAACCCAATGTTGCTTGCCGTTGTGGTACGTACGTGCCGTGTAACGCCCCGTAGCCTTCCGCCTCAAATTGCCGAAAATCTATGCATTTGAATGGGCGTGTTTTATCAGCCCGCGGAATCTCACTGTAAAGTGTTTTTACTCAAGTTGGAGTTTCGATTCGGGACCAAGTGCATCTTGTGCAGAATTTTTTGCTGATACCGAATCCGTTTTCCAAATTTGCTGCGGACTTTTATTTAAAAAGTCATTTTTGGTGCAAATTAAGCTTGAAAAAGCCAAAAATTCGGATCCTGGTCCACTATTCCCTCCATGGTTCTGCCTCGGCCAGGGGCCCTGAAGTACTTTGTCACAGCTCCGCTCCCGGTTGGCACCATGGTGCATTGGCAAAGTACTGCCTTGCCAAGCGCAGGGCGGCGGTTCGGATCCCCGCGCTGCACCTTTCTTTTGCTTTTGCATTAAAAAATTTAATTCTTTATAAAAAAGCTTGTTTTGACTTTTAAGATGCTTGACTAGCCAATCTCTAGCCAATTTTAAAGTTGAAATTGATCAGGGAAATCGAAAACGATAACGGTTCCTTGATTTTGGTGAAAAACACTACCATAACTGCTGTATAACTTTTAAAATAAAAGTCCGCAGCAAATTTGGAAAGCGGATTCGGAATCAGCGAAAAATTCTGCACAAGATGCACTTGGTCCTGAATCGAAACTCCAACTTGAGTAAAAACACTTTACAGTCAGCACGGCTGGAGCTTCATCTTTCGCGGCGTCTCACTCCATAGTTCCCAAAAATCTGCGATTTTCAATTGACTTGCTATTCTATTTTCTCTTAAATCTACGCTCTGCCAATTGCTGATATAATCCGAAATGTTCTAGCCATGACGTGCCCGGAGGAGAGCTACACCTCGGTGCTCGTCACGCGCTACTGCCGCTCGTCGCCGCTGCTCAAGACGTTCTCCGAGAAGAACAAGGTATTTTCTTTGCATATCGGTCTCAATATTTCTTTTTCAGACGATCCTCTGGCGCCAACTGTGGATTTGGCTGGCCGAGGCGGAGCTGGAGCTCGGGTTGAAGCAGGTGAGTGTTTTGGCGAGTTTTTTTTATCCATTTCTTTTAGATCACCCAAGAAGCCGTCGACGAACTGAAGGCCAACCGCGACAACATCGACTGGCCGCTGTTGCGCGCCGAAGAAAGGCGGCTGAAGCACGACGTGATGGCGCACAACCACACGTACGGAAAGGTAAATACAAATTTTGCGCTACGCAGATCTGATAAATCGATGAACGGGTCGATATATACAGGGTGTCCCAAAAAAAAGACCCCCCAAAAATTTTAGCCAGAGGGGACCTACGGAGCTGAAAATTTGCACAGAGGTAGCGAAGCTAATTTTCTATGAACAAGGAAGGTTACCGCCCGATCGGCCGACGGGTTTTAGAGTTATAGCGAAAATACTTTTCATTTTTAATTTAATATGGGGATTGCTGCAATTTGCATTCAAAATATGCGTTATTCTTACATTTACGACCCGATTTTGCATAAATTTTGCGAAAAAATGCCTTGGTGAGAACTATCGCTTATGAAGAGCAAAACGAGTGTCAAAACGGTGGCTTCTACCGTCAAAATCATATTTTTTGCCAATATGACCCCGTCGGCCCCGAACTTTGACTTTGACGAACTTCTAAGTACTGCTTAGGTTTGATTTTCGGCTTGGGTTGACGCTTACGACGAAATCTAAGCCGAGTTCAAGCGTTCAACGATAGTTTCAGTCAATGCGTCTTGTGCTCCGCGGTCTTGCAAACCATTTTTTTTTTTGTCTCCATGAGCAATCGTTTTTTCACAGCTCAAAGAAGAAAATGGCATTTTTGGCAAAATTTGTGCAAAATCGGGTCGTAAATGTAAGAATAACGCATATTTTTAATGCAAATTGCAGCAATCCCCATATTATTATCCTATCATACTATCATCCTACTATATATAAAAAAGTAGTGTCGGTGTGTGTGTGTGTCGATTTGCATGCAACTTCCGTCTCTATGTCCGGAGGATAACTCAATAGGGGATGAATATTAGGGTACGTATGATACATCATTAGGTGCGTAATGGCTCTGCGATGACTGCACGCATAACAGAATGATCGAAATACGCTATTTTCGATATTAAAAATAAGTTTTTCTAAAATTTTCGAGAGCCCTCTTTGGTAGGAAGCAATTAGCGTATACCGGAAGTAGACGAAGCCTATAAAAAGCCTATAAAAAATCCTTTGATTTTATGAATCTTGGCGCTCGTTAGGAAATTGGCTTCAACGAAAGAACAATAAATGCCTTTGAAAACGTATTCGAATAGGCCTAAAAAGGTATTTAAAAACTTTCAGGCGGCAAGTCCTTTGTTAGTGGCTTGGCTGGCCAAACCGCAGCCCCTTCTTCATGCCATTCGGGCCGCGCGGGCAGTGTCTCTACACGTCGTGCTACTGCGAAGAAAATATTCTCAAGGTACGCGATAAACCATTTCAAAAAACAAACTTTTAGCTTTGCGCCCGAATACCTGCAGATCGGCACGATGCCTTCTTCGTCGTTTTCCTATCAAATGAGGAAAGGGCGTTTTCGATATTCGAACAGGTAAACCATAAAGTTCTTCATGACTTCATTGTGCTTTAGAAAGCTTGCCGAGAAGATCGTGACTACGTGATTTGGGACTACCACGTGATTCTCGTTGAGAAGGTCGACGGCGCGTCCAAGGTCCGAAAGAAGCTGACAATATTTTGTGTTTTTTTAGGTCTACGATCTTGACACAAGGCTCGACTTCCCGTGCCCATTTACCGAATATTGCGAAGAATCATTCCCCAGCGAGGTTTGCGATCTTTAATTCCTTGGATATGTCGAATTTAGTGGAAATTCCCGCCGGAATGCGCCCGAAAGTTCCGCATCCTCCCGGTGGCTGTCTACTTGGAGCACTTTTCCAGCGATCGGTAAGTTTTCAGCTTACCATTTGTTCAAAACTGTTCTTTTCAGGCGGCACATGCGCAAAGCCGACAACACGTGGAACTCGCCGCCGCCGAGCTGGGAGCCCAACTTCCGCGTTGAGCTTGGTGAGCTTTGATTTGGAAATGGGTAGTGCTGTTCCTAGGTCACAACCTCGACGAGTTCATCAGAATGGACGCCGACTCTGCAGTCTCCAACGTCCGGACCGTGCGCGATCAACAAGTCTTTATCAGGTATTTTTTTCTAGGGTGTTTTTCGCCCCTGCTTTATGTTGCCATTTTATTGATAAAGGATTGTTTTCTGACTTCTGTGACGCATTTAAAGAAATTTGTTTTTGTTTTGGACCCTTGACTACCCTTCTTGTATACAAAACGTGTTGGGCCAACAGTTTCAAGGAGATCGGGGGCTTCGGCTTTGATCACAGCTCCAGAAGAAGCTTTTTTAGTTTTGATTCTATGAGCAAACATTTGCGGCTTTTTTTTGGTTAGAAGCTGTTGCATCCTTTAGCTTGACAACGACCGTAGTTATGCGTGGGCTTCGGCTTTTGGGTAGGGAAAAATGTTTCAACTTTATCGCATTCGAGTCGTATCAAGGGCAATAAAGATCCAGATGCAAATAAACAGAAATTAAGGGTTATGACGAGCAGAAAAGTATGAGTTTAACGGCTTTAGGATAATTTTTCAGAGGTCGTTGAGTTCTCCGACGTCCTGGTTATTGTTTTTCGAGCTAAAGATTATAATCATTCATACCGCTTCTGAGATTCATGCAAGTAGAAGAAATCAAGTCAATTTCGCTGGTTTTTAGAAAAAATGCATAAAATCTGCCTCAAGGATTGATAGGCGAAAGAGTTCTATTTAGTATCACTGTTAGTCGTTAGTGTTAACTATCGATTTTTAGATATGGCTAGCCAGACAAAGGTCAGACAAATGCAAACATTACCGCGGCCGATAATTTTCTGGCTTGAGGCCGAGGGCGGCGCCCTTCTTGACGGTGCACCCTTTGCAACCTTAAATAGACTTTTAGAATTGCGCCTCTTTCAGGTCTTAGTTTAACTCACTTTTGTTTCCGATGCAGCTGCAGGCCGCTCCAGGGATGTGACCGGTCAGCGCCTTCCTAAAACGGTTCTAAATTTTTCGGCTAAGTTGTTTTCTCACGTGTAGCGCTTTCTGCAGCGCGAGCAGAGGGGCGGTCCAAAGTGGAACGACATCATGCCCTCGCCGCTGCACCAGGTGCAGATACCCGGAAGCCGCATGGGACGGAAAGGCTTACCCGTTCTGCCTGCAACGTCATGCGGTATGTCAATCATTTGCTGGATTTTAAGCGGGTAATTATCTATCTCCGTTGCCGTGAAATGTCTTTGAAATGCCCCACCCAGCCGGGTCTCGCCATCCACAGCTACCGTCTCGCCGGCGTCACTTTCACTTTCATCACTTCCCGAACTATCGGATGTCACGTTATCCTTGGTGATCTGCTTGCACGTGCACTAAAAAGGTGTTGATTCGGTATCTGATTCCTCGGGCTACCAAGAACGTCTGCTTCATGCGCGTATGGGGATTATTTGCCCTGAACGTATCCAACCACTGTGAATACAGTAAATGCCGAATCCGGACGGCTGTGATGTCTTCGATGAAAACTTCCACCTAAAAATGCCGCAGATTAGCATATCTTGGAACACCTACCGCATCCGCGTGCTTCTGGAGGTGCAGGGACACCGTATCGGCGCGTCTCTTGCTGTCGCGCAGGTTGCCGAGCGTCTTCCCGAGCTTGGCAAGCATGGTCTAAAAGGATTGCGATCCTTCTACTCTCATTTTAAGCCCACCTGGGTAGCAACAAGAGAAGCCTGAACCTGTTCAGGGCAGGCACAGGGGGGCGGCAACTCGAGGCTCCCTGTACGCGACTGCAGAATCTCCTTGAAGAACGGCGTATTCTTGCCGCTCAGCAGCTTGACGGAGTAAGGCGACTGGTTTGGCGCCTAAAATGTTGGCTTTCCCTCGTTAAAAGAAATAAAGATAATATCGTGGTTCCTGAGTCTTTGCGCATGCGGGAGAGGCGTGGAACAAACTTTTCCGGCGAAAGCCTAGTTTTTTTATATAAATGGCGCATGTTTTTGTACATTGTTTGAACTTTTCTTGAGCATCAAAACTATGCAATTCTAATTAAAAAAGAAATTTGAGGTCAAAAACTGATAGATAAAATAACGTGCAATAATAAAACTGATAAAACGATTTTTTCGACAGAAAAGGCTGAAATTCCGACCTTTTCTAACATAACTATGCGGAAAAAGTTTGTTTCCACGCGAATACTCAAGAACCAAATCAGTTACCATTTTCAAAGCTGTTTATTGAGAATGCCTACCTTTGGAAGGTTGGTGGGCAGTGGGGTCCCTCCAAAACGCGCGAGCAGATCCTCGCTGAGCTCTTCGAGCGCGTTGGTGTCGCGCAGGAGCACCTGGACGTCAAGGTTGGCGATGTGGAACGCGCTGGCGGTCTGTAACAATTGCTTTTATGGTTGTCTGCGTTTGCGGTTCTCACGATAGCCAGTCCGGTCGCCAAGACATCTAGGAAGCCGTTCGAGCTCGACTGGACCTGATTTCCAGTATTCGCCAGAGTCGATGCGGACGCCTGAAAGCATATTAATGCCAGTTTCCAAATAGAAAATCGATAGGTGCTATCAGACGCTTTGTCGGTGGATGCGTGAACCTATGCAGGCCCGCGGCAACAACATTTCTCGTTGGCGCGACGCGGCCGCAAGGGTTCACGTGCACACCGGCAGATTGTCCGTCAGGGAATCCTCACCAGCGCGAGGAGCTCGTCGCCCGGATCTGCCGTCATTCGGGGGCTGGCAGGTAGCTAATCGTTAAAATTGTAGCCTTCCTAGTTTTCTCGAGAGCCGCATGGAAATTTGTTCCGGGAAATCGCGTAAGGGTTTTTTGGCTGGGCTAGTACTCAGATCAAATTTACACGTGTAAAAAAAGGCATCCTATCCTAAACTCAAAACATCAAAACCATCAAAACAAAAAAATTAAAACAAAAGCATCAAAACCTAAAAAATCGTGAAATGCTATGGAGTTGCTTTAGTTCCGCGAGCTGACCAGGCAATGATCCACGATATAGTTCTCGGGAGCAGGTATGAATATTTTTATTTTGTTTTGTGCAATGTTTGTCCATGTATTTTTAACTTAATCGCTTTTACACGCAAGAGACCAGAGCGCGTCGACCGCTAGGAGCCGCCAGCCGTAAAGAAGACAACGGCTTCGACCTATTTACAGGTCAGAATTGTCTTTTTAAAAGGTGAAATGAATTAGCAAGGAACCGGAATTAATGGAATAATTTTTCTATGTCTAATGAGGGCGCTATGACAAATTCTGCGTGCTCAATGTTAGTTTTAGCAATAAAAATTATCAATGGTAGTGTAAATTTTCAGCCAACCCGAAATCGAGGTTTCTGCGGGGTGAACGACGTGCCGAAAAAAATTTGAATAAGAAGTGCGGAACCCGGAAGTGCTTCATTAGCCTAAACAAATTAACATGTGTTGTCCGGTATAAAAGAAGCGATAAGCGATCAGCCATCGCATTACTTCTAGTCACCCTCCGACATCCTACGTTGATGGGCCATCCGGACGACGAGCTCCTCGCGCTGGTGAGGATTCCCTGACGGACAATCTGCCGGTGTGCACGTGAACCCTTGCGGCCGCGTCGCGCCAACGAGAAATGTTGTTGCCGCGGGCCTGCATAGGTTCACGCATCCACCGACAAAGCGTCTGATAGCACCTATCGATTTTCTATTTGGAAACTGGCATTAATATGCTTTCAGGCGTCCGCATCGACTCTGGCGAATACTGGAAATCAGGTCCAGTCGAGCTCGAACGGCTTCCTAGATGTCTTGGCGACCGGACTGGCTATCGTGAGAACCGCAAACGCAGACAACCATAAAAGCAATTGTTACAGACCGCCAGCGCGTTCCACATCGCCAACCTTGACGTCCAGGTGCTCCTGCGCGACACCAACGCGCTCGAAGAGCTCAGCGAGGATCTGCTCGCGCGTTTTGGAGGGACCCCACTGCCCACCAACCTTCCAAAGGTAGGCATTCTCAATAAACAGCTTTGAAAATGGTAACTGATTTGGTTCTTGAGTATTCGCGTGGAAACAAACTTTTTCCGCATAGTTATGTTAGAAAAGGTCGGAATTTCAGCCTTTTCTGTCGAAAAAATCGTTTTATCAGTTTTATTATTGCACGTTATTTTATCTATCAGTTTTTGACCTCAAATTTCTTTTTTAATTAGAATTGTATAGTTTTGATGCTCAAGAAAAGTTCAAACAATGTACAAAAACATGCGCCATTTATATAAAAAAACTAGGCTTTCGCCGGAAAAGTTTGTTCCACGCCTCTCCCGCATGCGCAAAGACTCAGGAACCACGATATTATCTTTATTTCTTTTAACGAGGGAAAGCCAACATTTTAGGCGCCAAACCAGTCGCCTTACTCCGTCAAGCTGCTGACCGGCAAGAATACGCCGTTCTTCAAGGAGATTCTGCAGTCGCGTACAGGGCGCCTCGAGTTGCCGCCCCCCTGTGCCTGCCCTGAACAGGTTCAGGCTTCTCTTGTTGCTACCCAGGTGGGCTTAAAATGAGAGTAGAAGGATCGCAATCCTTTTAGACCATGCTTGCCAAGCTCGGGAAGACGCTCGGCAACCTGCGCGACAGCAAGAGACGCGCCGATACGGTGTCCCTGCACCTCCAGAAGCACGCGGATGCGGTAGGTGTTCCAAGATATGCTAATCTGCGGCATTTTTAGGTCAGCACCTACATCCAGGATGTCAACAGCGTGCTGGCTCGTCACGGTGCGCTCACGACGTGGATGGCCGATCGGCGTGCCGACGCGCCCAACCTTCGTCTCCCCAGCCAGACCAACTTCGTAGCCCACGAAATGCAATCCAGATTTATCGCACTTTCCAGTGTCACTGTGCTGCTCCCACTGAGGAGCCGCCGCAAGATGCCCCGGATGACATGCACAGCGCCTCGGCCGACGTGGACAGCGTGGAGTGTGTTACTGCTACGGAAGTAGGTTGTTCGAGAGAAGCGATAATTCGTAGCCAGCCTGAACAACCAAAGTTTTCAGTAGCGAGACAACACCGGCTTGCTCACCGACCACGTCATCACAATTCTTCCCGCCAACCCTGTACGACTACCCCGATGAACGCAAATTACGCTACCAAACACTACTGCAGATCCCCCCAGCATAAATACTTTTTGGTTTTTCGGGCCCATACACAAAGAAAATGGTTGCATCTTTATTGAAAGTTGGACGCGTTGACAAACAAATCAAAGTGTGACGGCGGCCTGCAAGGATCGGGAAGCAACCGGGGAACAAAACACTACAACGAAGAGCGGCAACAAAAATCGCGGATAGATATAAGTTAAAAATGATAATAACGGAACCGGGAATTTGTGTGTGATCATTGGCCGTTGGCGTAGACGACGGGCTCGCCGTTCACCGAGGCGCTTTCCCGTCGCTCCATCTGCTCGAGTAGCCAGCGCTTGTGTTGAAGCTCCTTGTGAACCTTCTGCAACTCGCGCTCGCGGCCGTCTTGCTGTCGCACCTGGAAAACAGAATTTAATAACGGCAACCAGAAGCGTTTGGAACGAAAATAGACAATTGCTAAAAAGTCTGACGAACCTCCTTGGTAATCTTCTCGACACGCTTGTTGATGGCCTTTTCTTCGTGCTGTGCGAGTTGCCTAAAAGTAAATTGCACCGCACAGAGAAAACTAATTACCGGAAAGTGTTCAGTTCAATGCGAGCCAGCTCCCCGTCTTGCTGCCGATCGTAAATCTTCTGGGCGAGCTGGGCATGCACTTGTGTGTAGCCGCCGAGCTTGATCTTCACGCGCTTCTCGATCTTGCCAATCTTCTTCGCCTTCGACGTCATCCAGTCACGGGCCATCTAAAGGGTAGGATGCAATCAAGTTACAAGACCAAAAACTTACATTGAACTGTTGCGAAAGGGCTTCGATTTGCTGCTCCTTGCCGAGGCCGCCCAGACGGCAGAACTTGCCGCGGGAGAAGGCCAGCTCGCCAAAACACTGGTCGACGGCCTCCCAATACTCCTCATCCATAGGAGGGCCTTGTTCAGCTTCGTCACTGAAATGAAATTGATTGGGTTGAAAATATAAATCGAAAGCCAATTGTAAAAAAAATTATAACACTCACTCGATCAATTTCTTCGCGTCAGCCAGCTGCGCAGGAGTAAAGGCAAGCTCCGGGGCGGTGCCGTCGATGTCCCACTTGACGAGAAGCTCCATCTCGGCCTTGATCAAGTTCTCAGCCTAAATCGGAATCAAAATTTTTTAAAATGATTGTTACCCGGTTCAGCTCGCTCTTGTTGTCCACCGGTCGGAAGGCAACTTCAGAAATTTTGGACGGGCGCGGCAGGTCACGTTGGACCACCTAAAGACTGATGAAATAGGAGTAATAGCACGATACCTGTGTGCGCTGCTGCAGTTCCCGGAGACGAGCTTCGGCACGGGCTTTAGCGCGGGCTTCCTTCCTGTCTTCGGCATCTTCAACCCATTCGCCTTCATCCCCGTCTTCTTCTTTCCTAAAACCAACCATTTCCAAAGGGGGCAAAGTAAACTCACAACTCCTCATCGTCGGGTGCCACGATCTCAAAGTCGTTTTTCGGGCGCGGAAGGCTGGATAGGGCGCGCCGCAGGTCGGCCTTCTGCTCGTAGATGTCCATGGCGCCTTGGTTGATGCCCATTTGGTCGCGGAAAGGCGTCGGTGTGGCACCGACGGGTGTTTGGCCGGGTGTGCCTGAAAATAGATACATTATGGACACAACCGGAATACTCACGTCCGAATGAAGCCGTTCCGGGGGTGGCCGCGATCGACTGCAGAACGGTGTTCGGCGTCTCCATTGACTGGCGAATGGGAGTGACAGTGGAGAAGTTGCTTTCGAAAAGCGGCGTGTTCTCGCCGCCCTTCAGCGACGATTCGACGTTTTGGAGAGCGAGCAGATTGTGAACCTCCTAAGAAGAAGATGTACTAAGTGCAAAACAAAGTACCTTCTCAAGCGTGTCCCTGTGATTGGCCGGAGTGCGCAACGTCCGGGCGTTAGCAGCATTTTGACGGGCAGAGGCAACATAGTCGGTGAGTAGGCCGCTAGAAAACCAGGGTTATGTGATGAAAAAATAAAACATGCCTGGTAGGTGCGGTATCAGCATACTGGCTCATCGCCTCGGTCGCGTGGCCAATCTTCACGATTTCCTCGAGCTCCTTCTCGCTGATCTGCGGCGTGGGCAGGATCAGTTTGCCTAAAAGAAAAGTGTACAAACGCAAAAATAAAATTAAGTAACCAATTCTATTGTTATTTTACAAAAAGGCTTACTTCGTTTCTTTTCCTGCTGCTCGAAGACCTTGCCGTGCTCGGCCTCTTGCGCCTTGCGCTTCTTCATCTTCTCGCGGTCGGCGCGGCGCTTCTCGTTTTCCAGCTCTGTCCCGGTCTTCTTGCGGTGGTCCTCGACGGCGAGGTTGGTCTTGTCCTCGTTCGAGAACCTGTCCATCGACGGGTCGTGGAAGCCCGCTGGCACCGGCTTCTCGAACGGGATCTCGGCGCTGTAGTCCACCTCGGGCCGCTTCATGAGTTGGAACTTGCTGGGCGGGATGAAGATGCCGGCCGCCTAAATCGAAACTAAAATAGTTTTCAGAATCTAGCAAGGCGTAAGCTGAACTTTATCTGCATACCTTCAATTCCCTAGTCTTTTGTAGGGAGGCGCAGCGCCGGGCTTCGCTTAGCTGGCGCTCACGGGCCTTTCGCTTGGCCTTCTTTCCCTGAGTGTTGGCGAGACGAGCACGAGCTTCCGAAAGCATCTCCAGTTCGTCGTCATCCATGTCGATGGGATCGGGGCGGGCCGGCTTCGTCTCGGGCGTCGGGTCGATCTCGCCCGGCTTCAGCTTGCGCGCTTCCAGTGCTTCATCGTCGATTCCCTCGGCCTTGCGCTGGGCTTCGTCGAGGAGCTGCTCATATCTAAAGCAAAGGAACTGAAATTGTTTAGAAAATCGCACCTCTCAAGGCACTGCGTGGCTGTTCGGCCAACGATGGGAGCAATTGTTCGCCACTGCGTTGGCATCAGCTTGGCCAAGTGCAGCAGCTTCTCGTCCTCTTCGCGGCTCCATTCAGTCTTCTTGATCGACGGATCCAGCCACTCGTGCCAACGAGCCTGAAAAATCCTTTCAAGCCTTTAACCAATCGTTACCTTGCACTGTTTCGCAGATTTTCTGTGCAGCAACGACGCGATACGGCTCCACTGGTTCTTGCCGTACTTCATGATGGCCGCTTTGAGGATTTCATCCTGAAACATAAAGCAGTGATTGACTGAGAAAAAAAGGTTTACCTCAGTGTTGCGCCAGACGCCGCCCTTGATGATGACGCGCACCATTTTGACAAGGTGGCGATCTGAAAATTGGGTTTGATGAGGATACTCACATAATCCGTAGATAGAAATCAGAAAGGCAAGTTGTATCTAACGGTTTCGATAAAATTACAATGCAAAGGGACAAAATGTTTTGGCCTCTCTTTTGCAGAAAGAACAAAAAAAAGAAAAAGCCATTTTGGGGATAGCATAGCGTTATCTAAAGGATGCGCAATTTAGACGATCAAATGAAGGGACGCGAAAACGGGAAACGGAGCGCATTGAGCAAGTTCCGGCGCGCAAAGAGGAGGGACAGGCTAGCAGCGATCTTTGGCTCTAATCAAGAATGTTTTATATCAATTCAAGAGACGTTATTTTCGAAGCCCGAGATGGCCGTGATTTTCCGAAACCGGGGAGCCGGCCCGACCCATCGAAAGTGAGCGGCGCACGAGATGTGAGACGTACATAGGTGCATAAGTAGTGACGTTGAAAAGGCTTTGAAAACTAAAAAACTCTTTTAGACGCAGTTTTCGGTCAAAGTAAAAACTAAATTTGGACACTAGAAAATTGAATGCGCGTGAGAATCTTTAAAAAAGACATCCTGTTTTCAGAAGAGGCTTGAACCAAACCAACCAAAAAACCAGCCCAGGCTTCAAAACAAGGCTAACGATGCGGAAATTCAGCCATTACGATTTTTAGGTAGGAGAAGCCCGACGGGTTATCGAGAATAAACCCTGGAATTTTACTCTTGCGCTTGAGGGACGTTACATCACTACCTCGTCTGCTTCGAATACGATTGGCCGGCTGTATTCACCCGCAAAGGCGTGAAAATAGAGAAATTTTGTACAGTGTCCGCCTGCAGAACCAGAGCTCGCCAGTCTGCTTTCAGATAGGGTTAATTGTCCGTATTTAAGAAGTTACAATGGTTTTTGTTTTGAAAAACGCCTAAAATAGTGTCTTTTCGAGGCTCATAAAGTATCTCGGAAGAACGGTTCGCCTAATTCAATTAGCACATCTTGCTCAGAAAAATGTGCGCTTTAAAATTGGCTTTCGCCAGCTTTGGCATCTCACGGATTTTTCAAATTATTTTTTTCACGCTGTCGTTTTCATATGTTAGCCTTTTCCTGGTCCCACCGATATCTTTCCAACTCCCGTTAATCCCAAGAGTTCCATTTTGGCGATCAAGCGCCGCTTCCTTCGCGGACCCGGGTGTTTGGCGGGCGGCCAATCCATTTCCAGACGTCGAAAGTTGCGGCCGCGCGCCCTCGATCTCGGAAACACAGCGCCGAACAGAAAAGAAGAGCTGAAAGAAGCACGCGCCGAAAAAACGCATGGGCAGCGGGGGGTGAGCGCGACCTGTAAGTAGGTCATTGCCAGCGCGCAGCCCCCGCCTCCTCCCCGGCCATCGTTTTTTGGCCAACTTTTTTCGCCGATGCCGCCGGCTTTTTCTGGGTGGAGATGGGGTGAATTACGTGGGAGAGAGGAGGAGGAGCATGAGGAAGGTCGGCTGGATGTGGAAAGTGTTGGTTGGGGATGGATACTGCTAGAGTGATCGTCGGCATGCAGGAGGTGCTCCTCAAGGGTTTCTGCTAGTTCCCCTTGTGGGGAAGGCCACCTGGAAATCCTGAAAGTAGGTTAGCAGAGATTATTTGAGAACGAGTGACCAGAGGTCTGGGAAAGGAAGTCTAGCAGCGATTCTTTAGGAAATGGCAGGCTAGCAGAGATCTTTAGGGAATGGTAGGCTAGCAGAGATTCTTTAGGAAAGATCGGCTAGCAGAGATTCTTTAGGAAATGGCAGGCTAGCAAAGATCCTTGGGGCGCGCGGCGTTGGTCGCGGTTTTTCTGGCACAATTCCAGGGTCACCTGCAGCATACAATTCCGCGATCCACCGGAATGACGGGATTTCAAGGGCAAATGATCGGCCAGGTCTCGCGGCCCGGCATCGCATACACACACAACATGTTTATCTGGGTCAACGCCAAGGTGGCCCCCGCCCCCGCGAAGTAACACACCCGCCAGGTGTTCCTGTACGCAACATTCCTTTGTGCAACTCCGTACTACTAGTATTTTACAATTATGAGGTTTAAAGGGACGGTGAAGGCAAATCCATGGCCCTTGGATCGTTGGCCATCAGCCAACCGATCCCCTTTAGCCATTGTGGGACCCGTTTGGGAGGCGGAGCTATGCCCAGAAGCACTTTTTGGGGTTTACAAGGAGGGGTACTGTAGCTACTTGGGGCTTGATTTTGCCTTCCATGGGCCTTTAGAGGAAAACCAAGGGATCTCTGCTAGCCTACCTACTAGCCGTTTGTAAAACTTTCTGAAACAGGGAGAAGCTAGCAGAGACCATTTCGGATTTGGAACTTTTAAGGGGCAGTGAAGGCAGCGGGAAAAGTCATCCAATGGTATCTGCTAGCTTGCACAGCTTTCGCATTTCTTTTGAATATATTTTCCGGACTTTCCGGCTAGGGCAGGCTAGCAGAGATTCCTAGGGAAAGAGCGGGACCGGGTTGCCCACAACTGCTCTCACAGGCAATATCTGCCACCCCCGCCGACCGGGTGACCTTCAACCGATTTCACTTGATCTACGCCCCAGTCGGGTGGCTTTCCGCATCTTGTACATAGGCGCGGCGCGTAGGGTCCGTATTAAAGGGCAGGCTAGCAGAGAATATTTGGGAAAGGACCTAGATTTTAGACCTTGGATCGGAGCCCAGATTGCCTTGGAAATTCGCCCATATGCTGCCATCCGGTCATCTGAGCGCGTCATTACGGTGTTTTTGCGTGTTCCAGGACTCGTCAAGTGATCCCTGCTAGGCTGCCCTTTTCAGAAAGAACCTCTGCCAGCCCGTCTTTCCTAAAGAATCTCTGCTAGCCTGCCCTGAGTGGGACCGAATCGTCTCCGTATCCCTATCATAACAATCAGTTTCCGAGCTCATGTTTTGGTCTCGGCCCAAATCGGGTCACATTTTAGTCAACAAGGTGGAGGCTGGAATTGGAACAAACAGGGATACGGCCTAGCAGAGATTCTTTAGGAAAGGGCAAGCTAGCAGAGATTCTTTAGGAAAGGGCAGGCTAGCAGAGATTCTTCCGGAAAGAGCAGGCTAGCAGAGATTCTTGAGGAACTCTGTTCTACTTCTCGCCGTCTGCTTGTATATGTCACTGGTGGTTGGCGTGACCGGGGCGCGTCCCTGAAAATTCGGTTGCTCCGTCTGCGTGTGTGTGCCATTGCTGGGTGGAGGGATGGGGGGAGGCTGACCTTGCTAGGTCTTGCTCTCTCTCTCTCTCTCTCCTCTTGCTCTCTCTCTCCTACAGTGTCCGCCCCCCATCATGGCTCGGCCTCCAATATTCCTGCCAGCCCCACTGCCACACTGCCCCGACTGGCTCGCGCTCACTTGCCCCGTTTTCGCCCCGGCTTTTCTAGACTTTCCCCCCCCCTGGCCGGGGGCGAAATCGGACCGTTTCTGGGTGCATTGCGTAGTCTGGCGATTTTTGCACGATATTCTCGAGGTTAAGTGTGACGCGGGATTTTTTGTTCCTTTGCTTTTAGGAGCTCTTTTTTCGAATCTTAATTACCAATGCCCCACCGTATTTTTCAGCACTACCGTACCCCCAGCGCTGCGGGACCCGATGGACCCGGTGGAGCTGCTGACCCGAATGGGGCCCATTTCACTTCCCATGGCCCTGAGCCCACTTTCGATAAGCCCGATTGGTCTGGCGATGTCTTCACAGCAGTCTTCGCCCGTAATTGCAGGTGAGCGTTGACTTCGGTGGGCCTTTAGAGGGAGCTGGACTGTTTTTACTATGCTAGCCTCTTTCCTAAAGGATCTCCGCGAGCCGGCCCTTTCCTAAGAAATCTCTTCTAGCCTGCCCTGCCTAAAGAGTCTCTGCTAGCTCCCCAGCTACCATCCGTTAACGGTATTTTTAGACAGTGGCTGCCCACGCTCCGCTTTCCGCCCGATCGCCCCTTCTTCCGCTTCTTCCGGCGGCTGCTCCGCGCAACTTACCGAGTCATTTTTCCTGTCCGCCATCCACACGCTGGTCATCGACTCGGCCAGCGAGGAGTCGACGAGCGACGCCGGGACGATGTCTGAGAAAGGTGAGTCTCTCTCACGCTCTCTCTCTCTCTCTCTCACACTCTCTCCCCTCGCACAGCGGGACCCACTTTTTGGTGTGAGTCCGAGCGGCTGGCCGAGTTGGACGGGTGCCCTTTGCCAGGGAATCCAGTCCTCCTTTCCGGACTCCTTGTGAGACCGGGATGGCAAGCGAAAGTACGAGGCACTACGCACAGGACAACGCCGATCGGCCGATCCGATTGGCACTTTCCCGCCAAGTTGGAGGCGGAGGACACACAAAGGCCCATTCCGGTGAGGAGCTCCCGTCCCCCGGGAATTCCATTAAAGGCCCGATGAAGGCAAATCCATAGGCTTGTTAGACCCTTGGCAATTAAGCGTATCCCCTTTAGCCGTTCCGGGACCCGTTTGGGACGAAAGAACTCTGCCCCGAAGCACTTTTTGGATTTACGAGGGAGGGTACTGTAGCTGGGATCTGCTTGGGGCCAAAACCGAAGGGGCGGGGCTAGATTTTGCCTTCAACGGCCCTTTAAAACCCCGGGCTGACCTTAATGTTTCCCCTGCTTTCGATTCCCCTCGCAAATCCAGCCGGGTGGCAGACAGACACATAGTCACAGAAAACGACATCCAAACGCGCGCTCGAGCGCGTGGACCGGTTCGCGCGGGTGGCGCTCGTTGCGCAAGGCGCCCGAAAATGGGTCAGACGCCGCAGGGCATTTGGGTTGTAGGAGGGGGAGAAGCCGGCTTTTGCCCTTGAAGGGGAGAACGAGTGAAGGGTACCGGAATTTCCTAAAGTGCCAGCCTACTCTTTCCTAAGGAATCTCTGCTAGCCTACCCTTTCCTAAAGAATCTCTGCTAGCCTACCCTTTCCTGGAGAATCTATCCTAGCTGGCCTTCCGTGTACCGTTAGTGGCATAGACGAGAGAGAGAGAGAAAGAGAGAGAGAGAGACCGAAAAACTCGACCTCCAGAACCCGGTGACCCCCGATGGAAGGGGCGGGGCTTAACCCGATGGGTGCTGTCGAAAGTCGAAAAAGAAATCCACAGAGGTCAATGACCCCGATTCGGGTTGCCCTCGGGCCTCGGGCCAGCTAGCAGAGTTCCTTGGGGAGTACCGAAAAAATTGGAACGAGGGCAGGCTAAAAGAGATCATTTGGGACAGGGCTTGAGTCCAACTCCTTACACTTCCGCTTGTCCATAGCGCAACTCCGGAGCTTCCACTTCCTTATTTGCATAAATCTACTTCCCTGCTTTTCCAGGCTGCGACGAGGCGGTGCCGACCGGCTCCCTACTATGCCAAGTGTGCTCCGACCGCGCTTCCGGCTTCCACTACGGGGTCTTTGCGTGCGAGGGATGCAAGGTTGGAGCAGAGATTCTTTAGGAAGGGCCGGCTAGCAGAGATTCTTTAGAAAAAAGGGCTAAAATATCTTTTCCAGGGCTTCTTCCGGCGCTCCATCCAGCAGAAGATCCAGTACCGCCCGTGCGCCAAGGCCCAGGACTGCCCGATAGTGCGCGCGAATCGGAATCGCTGCCAGTACTGCCGGCTGAAGAAGTGTGTGGCCGTCGGGATGAGTCGTGACGGTGAGTGGCGGAATTCCTAAAGAATCTCTGCTAACCTGCTCTTTCCTCAAGAAGCGGCTAGATGGATCTCACTTCACAGCCCATTTAAAAACCCTTACTAGCGATTTTTTGGGGCAGCTAACTTGTCGAGTAGGCATAGGCCTTGACCCGGGTGCCCCGAAAAAATGCCTTTTTTGCCGTCCCCCCCCCCTCCTAGTCGCATAGTTTTCAGCGGGGAGCGATAACCTTGAAACGCGGAACGGGGCCGGACTGCCTAACCTAAAAAAGCGAAAAATTTTGGGCTATTGGGGAACCGGGGCGGCCGATCGGGGGTCGGTGGCATAAAAATAAAGCTGAAGAAGAGGAAAAGGGCTCTTTCTCACTCTCTCTCTCTCACTCTCTCTCTCTCTCGCTCTCTCTCTCTCTCTCTCGGACCCTCTCTCGTCTAAAGGGAAGGTGACAGCGAGGGCCCAAACTCGGAATATCGCTTCTCCCAGCTCCGGCCTCCTAAAGAATCTTTGCCAGTCCGCTCCTGGCTTCTCCGGGGTTTAAAGGACCATTGAAGGCAAATCGAGCCCCGCCCCTTTGATTTTTGGCCCAAAGCCAACCCCAGCTACAGTACCCTTCCTTGTAAGTCCAAAAATGTTTGTTTTTAGCCGTGCGATTCGGGCGGGTGCCGAAGCGGGAGAAGGCGCGCATGGTCGAAGAAATAGCGCGCTCATCCGTGCGCTGCCAGGTCGACGCGATGCGGCTGCAGTTCGAGGATCCGGCGCTGGTCTTCAATAGGACGACGCAGGCGTTTGCACGGTTGTTGGAATCGGTAGGTTATCTCGAGTTCTCTCTTTCTCTCTCTCCCTCTCTCTCGCAAATACCATGCACGTCTTGCAGGTGTGGTCCGTGTGGTCGGTGACCCCAGGGCACTGTCCGCTTCCGTTTGCCGCCTATCTACCGTCGATCAAGGCCGTCGTCGACTTTGCCAACTGCTTGCCCGGCTTCTTATGTCTGCCACAAGCTGAGCGAGTGTTGCTTCTGAAGGTAGGCCGGCTAGCAGAGATTCTTTAGGATAGGGCAGGCTAGCAGAGATCCCTCCGGAATCAGCCTATTCTTCCTTACAAGCCCACATTCAGACCTGCGTATTCGACGTGCTCCTCATCGTCGGTTGTGCGCGGGATCCGCCCCCCGCTTCCGCTTCTCCCCTCCTCTCCCACTCGATGGCGCTCCTATCGACGCGTATCCGCGCCAACGCCGCCACGCCGATCCTCGCAGCGCTGGCCGTCTGCTCTGCTTCCGGGGCACCGAGCGCACTGGTGGGTGGATTTTTTTGGCATCGAGGGCAGGCTAGCAGGATTATTGAGGAAAAGACAGGCTCGCAGAGAGTCTCTAGGAAAGGCAATCTAGCAGATTCTTTAGGAACAGAACCACAGCACAAATTCTCTTACAATCTCATTATTCCAGGCCTCCACTTTGGCCGAGTGCTACTGGTCGGTGGTGGCCACCGTCGCGCCGTCGTGCGCGCAGGCGATGCCCGGACTACTCGCCGACCTCCGCGGCCTCTCCATCCTCCACAGTGAGCGCGTGCGCTGCCCAGTGCCTCAGAAGTCGTTCCGGTGAGTCCTGGCTCGAATCATATCCAAAGGTTTTCAAGAATCTCTGCTAGAAGACCTTTCCTAAAGAAACTCTGCTAGCTTGCCATTACCCTTAAATTCTGAGGTTTTTAGTGAGCGGCACGCGTCTCTGGCGTCACTTCTAGAAGGCGGTCCCTCGCTCTGCTCCTCGGCCTCCAGCGTGTCGTCATGTCCGATGGGGATGGACCAGGGATTGGTGGCATCGCCGCCAGAAATTAAGGTGAGGAGAGAGAGAGAGAGAGAGAGAGAGAGAGATAGCGAGAGAGATTTGAACCGTTGCTTCCTCACAAGTGGTTACTAGCACAATCGAATGTAGAAACCGTCCAAACAACGATTTCCAGGTCGACATCTCGCCCCCGGCCTCCATCGACGGCGAGCTGGACGACGACAAGCCGCTCGACCTATCGCTAAAGAAGCGCAGTCCCCTAATTATCGAATTCCGTTTTCCATATAGTATAAGCCCAAGCCCAAGTTGCCCTTAACCGCCCAACACTGCCCGTTTTGTGCAAAAAAATACCTTTTAATACTTGAACCCACCCCGGTGCCCCCCATCCTGATGTCACAATCCGATCTGACTCGCCCGTTGCTGCGTTTCTCGAGTTGTTCCCGTGTAGTGCCTTTTAGCAATCCGACTAGTTGTAGGTTAGAAAATTTAAAGTTTTGTGCATCAAAAGAAAGTCTGGCCCCTCGCTGCCACTTTTTTTGAGGGCAAGAAACCCGTCCCAAACCCCCGCAAAAAAGGTGCGGCCCTTCGAACCTCACGTGCCCTTTGCCCCTCCCCCCGTTCACTTTGACAATCATGCATATATCACTTTGATTTTACGATTGGCAATGATAAATTTTATATTCACAAATAGAGACGTAAATATCTTTTTGAGTCCTTGGTGAATGACTGGTCTAAAGTTGGCCTTTATTATCACGAGCACATAATCAATAACCCGGAAAAACGAAGGATCACAAAAACGAAAACGAAGAACAACGGATTACAGAGAATCAACATTGGGCGTTGATGCGGCCCTGGGGGGAGTACCAACGCGGAAACGGGATCACATCGCGGATGCTGGGTTCGCCGAGGTGACATTGCAGAAGACGGTCGAAGCCGATCCCGAAGCCGGCCGACGTCGGCTTGCCTCGCCTGCGTAGCTCGGCGTACCTGGAAAGATAACTTTGATGAGATAGAGCCTGGAAAGCCTAAACGGTCCCCGAGCCAAGAGAAAAATCGAAAACCAACCAAGCTAACTCTGGCTGCGCGTTCCGCTTCATCAACTCGTCGGGGTCTTGCTCCCTGACCCCGCCGCTGGCCACCTCGCCAATCCCCGGCCAGAGCAGATCGAACGAGTCGGTCTAAAAAATAAATCCAATGCGGTAAAAATATGTCTACCAATTTCTGGTCGCTTCTCCTCATGTAAAACGGCTTCTGGTCGATCGGAAAGTTGGTGACGAAGACGGGCGAGCCGAAATGGGCGGCCAAGAACATCTCATTGGCTTTCGAGAGTCCCCGGCCGTCGATGTTCTCTCCATGTTTCTAAAAAAATTTCATCATAATGATAAATTAGATACCGCCAGAATGGCCAGCGCCTCGTCGTACGTGATCCGCGGAAATCGAGCAAGCCCGGGCTGAAGCCGCTTCATTGGCTGAACGCAGAGAATGTGATGGCGATCGTTAAATACCTCCGATACTTCCTTGGCAAATGACCGTGCCAATTCGACGTCACCTTTCAGCGCGGCGAACCCCTTGAGGATGAACAACATGTACTTCTCGACAACATCACAAATCTGAACATGATTTTCAGCGCTTCATTCGGAAAAGAAAAGGCAATAAAAATAGCGTACCTCCGTCAGGGTTTCACAAAACGCCACCTCGGCTTCTAGCATCCGAAATTCGGCGAGGTGGGTGCGGCTGTGAGGCTGGATGTCGGCCCGGAACGCGCTGCCGATCGTGTAGACCCGCGGAATTCCACTGAAAGCAAGGAGTAACGAAAACCAGATATCAACCCTCACCTGGTCATCGCTTCCAGGTGCATTTGGCTTGACACCGACAAAAACATCTTCTTGTTGACGCCAAAGTAGTCGGGCTTTTCCGCGTGCACCGTAAACGTTTCGCCAGCCCCCTCGCAATCGTTGCTCGTCAGCACCGGCGTGTCGATATGCACGTAGTCGTTTTCCTACAAAAGATAATGATGAAGCTCGCCATTTTCACCTCGAAAAACGCATGCGTCAACATTGTCAGTCTAGAGCGGAGTCGCATTATGGCGGCGAAGCCCGGATGTCTGGCCCTCAAATGCACCGCTTGGCGTATCGCATCCGCAGATTTTTGCTCGTAGTCAGGCTAAACACAACAAAAACAGTGAGAAACTTGCTGCCCAAAACGATAAAAAGACAAACCTACATTCTCATCAGTGGCACAAATTCTGAGCTGCTCGGCGTGCAATTCCATGTCTTGCTCGGCACCGCGACTCTTGGCCCAGTTTCCGCTGACCGCAATCGCCGCACCAACTGGGACGTTCTTGTACACGCTCTTCGGCACGACTATCTAAATCACGATGCAAAGTAAGGCAACCTTCATCCTAAACTGGCTAAAACAAACACACTTGGACGTTCCGCGTCGAAGCCCCGTCATGTACTCGCACGAATGACATCTTGGAAAACTTCGACGAGCGAACGACCCAGCCCTAAACTTTTGTTTAGGTATATAAAAGCCTGATACGTGAATTTCTGCATGGCCGCATTCTTGTTGTTGCTCGACGACTTTGCTGAGGGTGGAACACGCCGGCGCGAAAGACCTTGCGCAGCTCCCTGGCAGCAATAGCCGCAACATTCTAGAAATGGTAAATAATCACGTTAGCACGTGGTTTTCAAAGAAAGCGGAGGGCCTTCAACAAATCAGCATTTACAATGCAGCCCGTCCACAAAAACGTCGTAATGGCGAGGGCACGCGCAAGAAGAGAGGACACCGACGCATAGACAACACCCATAGCTCGCTGCAAACCGCCAGCCGGCAACAACGACGAGAGAACGAAGCAGCTCCCAGAACCAATTGTTGTAGACGCCATTCGCAAATCGAAAGCGAATCCGAATCGTGGCCAACATTCATACTGGAGCAACTCTTCGTGGAAATCGCAAGCTTTGTATGTGCTCCAAGTAAAGCATTTATTAGCAATCATCAGATTTAATCAATTTATCGAAAGGAAATAACAAAAACAAAGCGTAAGGCAACTTATTTCAACTCCTTGACGCTGATGCCCGGGGGTAGCGACTGCTTCAGCTTCTCGGCCTTCACCTTGTCCTTGATGACGAGCGTGTAGAGGAACCGGCTGCATCGCACTTTGAACTTGACGTTGTCCGCGTTCTTCTTTATCTTGACCGACTTGGCGTCCTTGCTTCTCGCCTTCAGGAGGAAGTCCTTGATCTCGTGGATTTGTCGCGGCATGGCCTCCGGGATACCCTGGAAATAAAAATGTAATGATGAATTGAAAATGGGAACGTAAAAGTGCAACAATTATAAAAAAAAGGCAAGACTAGAAAAACCGACGGGTGCTGAAATCGTGAAGAAAAACGAAATGAAAAAATCTCGGGCCAGGTCGACCCGATTCCACGACGCACCGCTTACGGATTGTTGCCGCGCGGAATCCACTTACGCCCGGTAAATCATTAACTTTGAGGGTTTAGAAGTAAAAATACTTAATTTTCATTAGATTTTCAGTATATTTAATGCTGAAATCCGATTTTGAACAAAAAGAGAATGAAAATCAAGGAAGGGACCTCACCACGGCTGCGTCGACGTCTAAGGGGGATAGTTTCGAGCTGTAAAAGAGGGAAAATGCCTTTTTTAGAATTACAACTGCTTAAAAAGCAAAGAAGCAAGATTTATTGAAAAGACAATTCCTTATTAAAGCGTAAAATTAAAACTAGGGCAGGCAGACGTTACGTCAAAAATGTTTCCCCAAAAATAGGATGTATATTTTTGCGTATCCGGCGGCCCACCTGGTGTCGTGTTTGCGCACCGCCTCCGGTTTCTCGCCTTTTTGAATTTGTAGAGGGAAAGAGGAAGCAGAAAAAGAAGAAAAAGTCGAAGAAGAGGGCCGTTGAATTCCGGGGTGGGGGCAGGAGGCTCCCATTCTTTGCCCACCACTTCTGCACGCCCACCGATTTGGTCGCCGGATGACTTTGGGCGGGATTTCGATAAAAGGTAAGGATGGATATTAAGAAAGGGTTTAGGCTATGGTTTCGGCTTAGGCTAAGGCTTAGGGTTAGGGTTAGGCTTAGGTTTAGGCTTATGCTGAGGCTTAGGCTTAGGATTAGGTTTAGGCTTAGGCTTACTAGGCTTACGTTTAAGCTTAGGCGTAGGCTTGAGCCTGGGCTTAGGCTTGTTAGTCTTATGATTAGGTTAGGCTAAAGCTTAGGCGTAGTCGTAGGCTTAGACTTGGCTTAGACTTGGCTTAGTCTTAGGATTAGGTTTAAGCTTAGGCTTACTAGGCTTAGGTTTACGCTTGGCTTGGCTTGGCTTAAGCATGATGCAAACACCATTTCGAAATCCACTCCACCTTTTGCCCCCAGCCATATCTTTCGCTTAATTTTGCCAAAAGCGAGGGTGGGCAGGAGGGGCGATGGGAGAGCCGGGGCGTCGGGCGAAGGTGCAACCGGTTCCTCGCCGTCGACCGTTGCTTTCCGTCGCTAACTCTGGCTCTCTCTCTCTCTCTCTCTCTCTCTCTCTCTCTCTCTCTCTCTCCCACCTTCTATCCGATGTTTGCACGCGCCCGGCCAGAGCAGCGCCCCTTACTACCCCCTCGGGAAGTCGGCCGGATAGGGTGGTGTTTTGGGCATTACTCGAACACCTTTGGTCGGGTTTCCTAAAGAATCTCTGCTAGCTGACCATCGGATTTTGATTGGCTGTCCTCCTAAAGCTTTTTTGAGCTTGCCCGTTCCTAACGAATCTCTGCTAGCATGCTTTTTCTAAGAACCTCTTCTTGCCTACCCTTTCCCAAAGAAACTCCGCTAGCCTGCCCGATGCGTTATGTAATTTGGCCGGTGCCGGAGCCCTCCAACAACGAAATGGCCTTGACACGGGCTGTGTGTCGGGAGGACCGCTCTCTCTCGCCCCCTCGACAACACGTACCCATTTTGTTCGATTTGTTCTAGCGGCGCGTGTAAATTGGAAACAACGGAAATTTTCACCTATCCGAGCCAAAAGTCGGTTTTTGAAGGGCAGGCTAGCAGAGATTCTTCCGGAAGGGGCAGGCTAGCAGAGGTTCTTTTGGAGCGAGCCGGAGCGCGGTTTTTTTCGTTTTTTTTTTCCAACCGCCTCACCTAAACCGGTCTTTAGTTGACCGTGATGAGTCATTCCGCTTGCCGTTATTTTGCTACAATATTCGAGTGGTCTCTCTCTCTCTCTCTCTCTCTCTCTCTCTCTCTCTCTCTCTCTCTCTCTCTCACTTCTCCCATCGCCATCATCAAAATCCTATTGTGACGTCCCGGCGCCTTTGGCTAGTAGTGACGCTCCGGGGGGTGGGACGTCAGGATTTTTATGGCGTAACTGGTTCGGGTTGGCCGAGTTGCGAGTCGCCAAATTGTTTCGGACAACGTCGAGGTCCTCATTTTTCCTGAATGATCTCTGATAGCCTGTTTTTCCTAAAGAATCTCCGCTAGCCTACCCATTTCAGACCATGTCAAACGAGGGGAATTTCCGGTCACCCGGAAATTTCTTCTCGTCGCTGATCTCCGAGATCACTTCCTCCACCTCCACCTCAAACGACCATCCGATGTCCAGGTGGGTGAGAGAGCGAAGAAATCTAGAGATCATAGAGATTTTTCCTAAAGAACCTCCGCTAGCCTGCCCCCACTTTCAGCGCGACGCCTTCGTACGCGCCGATGGACATCGAGCAGAAGATTTCCATCACCCTCCAGCATGGCAACCACCGCGAGCTGGTGGTGATCGAAAGGAGCGAGCAGGCGCATGTAGGTTGAATTTTCTGGGTTTAAAGAACCATTGAAGGCAAAATGGAGCCCCGTAGCTTCGATTTTTGGCCCGATTTCAACCCCAGCTACAGTACCCCCCTTCTAAATCCAAAAAGGGTCTGGAGGCACAGCTATTTCGTCCCAACCGGGTCCCGCAACGGCTAAACGGGATAGGTTGGATGCTTGCCAGGGGTCTAAGGCTATGGATTTGCCTTGCCTGGCCCTTTAAGGTGTTCAGCTACGCTTTACAGGTCTACTACGGCTTGATGGAGCGGGCAAGGAATCTGGCAGCAAAGGGTGATTCTAAGGTACGTTTTTAATGGATCTGAGCTCGCTCTCTGTACATTCTTTCTTTCCCTGCCTCTCTCTCTCTCTCTCTCTCTCTCTCTCTCTCTCTGGTCTCTAAAAACTCTCTCAGGGTGAGGTCCACCTCTTCCGACACGACTACCTCTCACCCCAAATTCTCCACCCCTTGACCTGCATAACACAGCTGGTAAGGTTTTATAAAAGGCTTTCAGGGTGTGGTAAACGCAGCTTTTTCATGCGTGTAACTTCCGAGCCCCTTTAAAAAACTATTTGGACTTTTAAGGGCAACGGAAGCGTCGTCGAGGTGATAGTTGTCGATCGGAACGAGGTGCCGACAAGGCCGCACATTGTTGAGGTGAGGGCAAGCTAGCAGGGATGCTTTAGGAAAGCGCAGGCCAGCAGGGATTCTTCAGGAACTTTTTTTCAGGTCAACACCTACCTAACGCCCACCTTCTGCGACTACTGTGGCGAAATCCTCGTCGGTCTCGTCAAGCAGGGCCTCCAGTGCCAGCGCTGCAGGTGGGGAACAAACGCTTCCCAGTCCCTTAAAACCAAGAACCCGGCCGCCCAGCCGCCCGGCCGAGCCCCGGCCAATTTCCAAAACCCGGCCCCCTACGAGCCGCATTAATGACTGCTTCCGGAAACCCGGCTTCCCGGCCCAGCCGGCATTTAGTTGCGGCCCGGCCAAGCCGGTTCGGCCGAGCCGGGAAACCGGAAGTTGTTCATTTACGTGAGAATCCGTGAATCCTATGCAAAATTGTGAATGAAAATGACCAAATTTCTATGGTGGAGTGATTTTTCTCTTGCCATAAAGCTAATTATTGATTGAATCCGCAATTTGGTACCGGAAAGCGAAAATCACATTTGTCCGGCTTTCCGGCTTTTCAAAAGCCGGCGGCCGGGGCTCCGGCTTTTAAACATAAAAGCCGGGCCGGACCGAAGCCCGGCGCCGTGGGTCGGCCGCATGCTAATTTTTCCGGCCGAGAAAAGCCGGCGGCCCGGCCGTTTGCCATGTCTGCTTAAAACCAAAAATGACTGAGTTTTAGATGCAACTTCCACAAAAAGTGCGCGTTCGCGTCGCGGAACAATTGTGCGCGAAATACGTCGGTGGCGGGCCCGCCACCAGTGATGCAGCAGCAAGCCTACGCCACGCAACAAATGCCACAGTATCCGCAGACGCCGATGGGTGAGGGAGAGAGAGGGAGAGAGAGAGAAAGAGAGCGAGAGAAGGAGTGAGAGAGACGGAGAGATAGATTCCTCAAGGATCCCGGCTAGCCTGCTCGTTTCAGATGATTCGCCCTCGGCTATGGTGGCCTCTCCGTACGCCCTGCCCCACACGCTTGCCGTCCACAACTACAAGACGCTGACGGTCTGCAAGGTGAGCGGTTCCCCAAAGAAGCCCAGCTAGCCTGCTCTTTCCTAAAAATCTCTGCTAGCCTGCCCTTTCCTAAAGAATTCCTGCTAGCCTGCGCTTCCTAAAGAACCTCTGCTTGCCTGCCCTGAAAAACAAATTTTCTAGGTATGCGACAAGATGCTGTTCGGCATCATGAAGCAGGGCCTGCGCTGCCGGGACTGCAAGGTGAACGTGCACAAGAAGTGCGCCGCGCTGCTCCCCCAGAATTGCCATATCGCCGACGGGTCCATCACAGCGTTTGAGCAACTCTCAGTGGTAGGTCTCTCTCTCCCTCCCTCTCTCTCTCTCTCTCTCTCTCTCGCACCAATGAAACACTCTCATTACCCCCGACTCCCGCCGGCTAATCTCGGCCAAATGCCGACATTATCGTGCGCCCTTTTCGGGGCTCCTCGGGAAGCGCCGCGTTTCGATGGTGGTATTATTGAAGCCGGGAGAACCGGTTTCGGCTTTTCCGACCCGACCCACCCCATATGCAAATTAGGACCAAAACGGACCGCTGGGGGCTCAGATTTTCGTTTTTCGGCCCTTCGTTTAGGAGAAGACTACGGTTTTCCTACGGTTTTGACAAAATGGTCTTTGCTAGCTTGCCAAGGATTTGGACCTACAATTTCTACGCAAATCGCCTGATTTTGAGCACAAATTTGTCTTATCTGCTATCCTTCCTATTCTCACTCATGCTCTAACTCTCTCTATCCCTCTCTCTCTCTCTCTCTCTCTCTCTCTCTCTTCCTCCCTCTATGTTTCAACTTTTAGAGCGAGCAACCGTCCGTCTCCCCGCAGGACGAGCCGTCCGAGGCGAACACCTCGATCGACTCGGATCTGATCCCGCTCAGCCGGATACCAGGTTTGGCCACAATGCATTTTTCGGATTTACAAAGGGGGTACTACTGTAGCTGCGGTTGGCATTGGGCCAAAAATGAAAGGGGCGTGGCTAGATTTTACCTTCAAGGGTCCTTTAAAGCTACCAGGAAACGGTATTACTTGCAAAATTTCCAGGCCAGGCGGCCGCCCGGCACGCCAACAAGCAGGCCCATGAGGGCTGGATGATCCACTTTTTGCTCAACGAACCGCAGAGGTGGGTAGAGAAACACGAGAGAGAGAGAGAGAGAGAGAGAGAGAGAGAGAGAGAGAGTGAGCGAGAGAGAAAGATATTTTCAGGAGATTACGCCACTACTGGATGCTGTCGAACAACGTGCTGTCGCTGTACAACGAGTACTCGGAGGGGGTCGGGGTCAACCCGACGAGGTGCTACCGGCAGATACCGCTCTCGGAGATACTGGCCATTACTCCGTACAACGGCGATCCGGTGGACCCGAGGTTGGCACGCTCTGCAGAGATTCTTTAGGAAAGGGCAGGCTAGCAGAGAGTCTTAAGGAAAGCGTAAACTAGCAGAGACCCTTTGCGGTCATTTTGATACCTCGCTAATCCCTGTAGCAATAAAACGCCCAAATCCCAAATTTTCCAGATTTCCGCCGCACGTCTTCGAGATGCGCACGACGTCGAACGCCGTCTACTGCGTGGGCGAGAACCTCGACTCGTACGGCGGACCCCCGACAAAATTGCCGCGAGGGCAGGCAGCGAGGTAGGCTGGGCAGGCTAGCAGAGATTCTTTCGGAACTGGCAGGCTAGCAGAGAATCTTGATGACCACCCCAACTTCCAGGTCGAGCTCCTCGGGCCAAGTGTGGCTTGGCGTCCTGGCCCGCGCCCTTCAGCCCCCACCTTCTCGTAGCGACCCAGCAAACGCCGAGCCGGCTCTGCAATTTACGGAATTGTACCAGGTAGGGTGGAAGTCTAAGCCAAAGCCTAAGCCAAAGCCTAAGCCAAAGCCTAAGCCTAAGCCAAAGCCTAAGCCAAAGCCTAAGCCAAAGCCTAAGCCAAAGCCTAAGCCTAAGCCAAATCCTAAGCCAAAGCCTAAGCCTAAGCCAAAGCCTAAGCCTACACCTTCTCTAGGTGCTGTCGGAGAAGACGCTTGGGGCCGGCCAATTCGGGACCGTCTACACCGGAGTGCATCGCCAGAGCGGCAGGGAGGTGGCCGTCAAGGTGAGAGAAAGAGAGAGAGAGAGGGGGGAGAGAGAGTGAGAGAGAAATACTCACATTTCCAGGTCATCTCGAAGGAGCGCTTCTCGAAGAAGCCGAACAACGGCGCCGACACGCTGCGCTCCGAGGTGGCCATTTTGCAGACGATCTCCCATCAAGGCATCGTGCGCCTGGAATCGATGTTCGAGACGAAAGACAAGATCTTCGTCGTGATGGAGAAGATGAACGGCGACATGTTGGAGATGATCTTGTCGCAGGTGACTAGCAGTGATTTTTTAAGAAAGGGGAGGCTAGCAGTGATACTCTAAGAAAGGCAAGCTAGCAGAAATTCTTTAGGAAAGACATTTTTATCCAAAAAATTCCATTTCAGGCCTCTGGACGACTCGACGAGCGTGTGACGCGCTTCCTCATCCTCCAGATCATGTCCGCCTTACGGTATCTCCACAATAAGGTGCGTCTCAGCGACCAACGTCGTCTAGCCGTTCACTCTTTAGGGCATCGCCCACTGCGACCTGAAGCCGGAAAACGTGCTCCTCTCCGAGCTCTCGTCCAACTTCCCGCAGACGAAACTCTGCGATTTTGGATACGCGAGGTAGGTGACGAGAGAGCAGGCTAGCAGAGGCCATTTCGGAACCAGAATCAAACGCGTTGTTTTCAGATTCATTGGAGAAAGCCAATTCCGGAAGACGATCGTTGGAACACCTGCTTATTTGCCACCGGAAGTGTTGCAGAAGAGAGGTGAGATATGGGCAGGCTAGGAGGGATTCTTGTGGATAGGGCAAGCTAGAAGAGGTTCCTTAGGAAAGGCGGACTAACAGTGATTCTTAAAGAAAGCTTTAAGGCTACAACAAATCGCTCGATATGTGGTCGGTCGGCGTGATCATCTACGTGACGCTGTCCGGGACGTTCCCTTTCAACGATGGCGAGGAGGTTGGCAGTCTCTCTCACACTTTCTTTCTTTCTCTCTCTCTCTCTCTCTCTCTCTCTCTCTCTCTCTTTCTCTCTCTCTCTCGCTATCTCTCTCAATCTCGCCCTCTCTCTTTACCGCTCTCTTTCGCGCTCTCTCTTGCTCTCACTGGCTCTCTCTCGCTCGCTCGCTCTCTCTCGCTCGCTCGCTCTCTCTCTCTCGCTCTCGCTCTATCTCGATCTATCTCTATCCCCTAATTTCAGATCAGCGACCAAATCCAAAACGCCGCCTTCATGTTCCCCCAAGATCCCTGGGCCCAGGTCTCGCGTGAAGCCGTTGACCTCATTCAGCGCCTACTTCGAGTTAACGTCAGTTTTTCCCAAAGAATCTCTGCCAGCCTGCCTTCCCAGAGAACCCCTGCAATTTCTCCAATTCCAGATTGAGGAACGGCTCCACATCGAGGAATGCCTGGCACACCAATGGCTCCAGTCCGGCGAGCTGTTCAGCGACTTGCGCGCGCTCGAGTTGAGGCTGGGCGGGGAGAGGTGAGAGAGGCATCCGAGCAGAGATTCTTGAGGAAAGGGCATGCTAGCAGAGATCACGACGGATTTAGGTACCTAACCAATGGCCAAGACGACGCCCACTACGCCCAGCTACTGCTACAGCAGCAGAGGAACGCCATCGCCCAGCAGCCGTCCTTGCTGGATTTGTAGTTTGTGGTCTCGGCAGGCTTAGGCTTAGATTTGCTTAGGCTTGAGCTTAGGCTTGGGCCTAGGCTTAGGCTTCGCTTGCTTAAGTCTAGGCTTAAGCTTATACTTAGGCTTAGACTTAAGCTTACACTTAGGCTTAGGCTTAGGTTGGGCTTAGGCTTAGGCTTCTGACCTATACATATTCCCTATCCAATATTTTCCTGGTCTCATCGTGGAATTTTGCGTCCAGTTTTAATTCAATTTACATTATCTCTCTCTGTCTCTCTCTCTCTCTCTCTCTCTCTCTCTCTCGTCTCTCTCGTCTCTCTCATTTTAATAGCATAATTGGTTAAAATGAACGCTTACACTCGAATTCAGGTGTTTCTTAGAATACAAATTAGCAAAACCTACCGTAACCCCCGGTTTCTACAGTCAGGATTTGAGACAGGCTCAGCAAATAACGATATTTTTGTACTTGTCAGCTTTGTGTGATTTTTTGTGATTTTGAGATTCCGTTATTGTGAAGTGTACACCCATTGCAATTAGCTGTGATATCATAGAGGATAAATGAATGTTTTATCTGCACACAATGGAGTGATAACTGCATGGCATGCTAGCAGCGATTGTTGAGGAATTTAAGGTCTGAAAAATGGAGCCTTAAAATGTTTTGAAATTGAAAAGCGATTCTTAAGGAAAGAGTATGCTAGCAAAGATTCTTAGGGAAGGCAGGCTAGCAGAGATTATTTAGGAAAAGGCAGGCTAGCAGAGATTCTTTAGGATTCCTTTCCTGCCGATTTTTTAAGCCTCGGAACCCGCAATCCCTTCCAACCAGGCCCGCGACTTCTAAAAGACACCCCCGGCGGCCCAGTTCTTCTCTGCGCCCCCCCTCCCCTCACTCTCTCTCTCTCCCCTCTGACAGCCACTTCCCGTTGGCCGAATTCGGCGAAAGAGCGAGAGAGTGGGGCAGAGAAACAGAGCTGTTTTGGGGGCGTATTTCACTAGGGCGTGCGGCAGGTTCCGGGAGAAGGAGCCCTCCGGGATGACGTGCCTCCGAAGCGTATTCTGCGGCCCGCTGCCCCGTCTAAATACCACATTTGTCGATATATTACGGGGGCCCCTACGGGGTTGTGCCCTTGGGCTAGGAATTTTCTAAAGAATCGCTGCTAGCTTGCCTTTCCTAAAGAATCTCTGCTAGCTTGCTTTTCGTCAAGCATCTCTGCTACCCTGCCTTCCTGTTTTTTTTCGGCCAATATTCCATTCCTTAAGAGTCCCTGCTAGTACGCTTTTTCCTAAAAAATCTCTGCTAGATGGCTCTAGCTAAAAGATATCTTTCAACTTGCCCTTTCCTCAAGGATCTCAGCTAGCCTCCTCTGCTCAATTTTCGAGTTTATAACCCAATTTTCGCGAGATAAATCCGCCCTAATTTTCTCTGCTAGCCTGTCCTCCCACCTTAAAGATGATTTTTTTTGAGAAAGTTTATTAAAGAATCCCTGCTAGCTTACCCTAGGCACCATCGCAATTTCCGAAAGAAACTCTGCGATCCCATTTTCTAGATTCCTAACACTTTTCGAAAATTCCTCAAATGACCTCTGCTAGCCTACCGCTTCTAAAGGGACGTTGAAGGCAAATCCGTAGTCCCTAGGCTCTTGGCAAAAAGCCAACCGACGCCTTCTAGCCGTTGCGTGGCCCGTATGGGACGAAACAGCTGTCGCGTGGAATTTTTTGGATTTACAAGCGTGGGTACTGTAGCTGGGGATGACTTCGGCTTAGGCTTAGGCTTAGGCTTAGGCCGAGGGGTAGGGCCAAAGCTAAAAGGGACAAGGCTGGATTTGCCTTCAACGGCCCTTTAAACCCGTGTCCAGAACCTGGTTCCTCCAGGCTTGCCGACCCGCAGAATCAGGTTCTCCCCGCCTCATTCTCCTCCCCGGCACCTTCTAGCCCAATATTCCAGTCTATTGCTACATCGCCCAGCTGCCCTCTATACTACACTTGTTTGTTGGGTGTTGTATATCGGAAAGGCGGGCTGCGGAATCGATTTTCTTTTAGCATCTCCATTTTCGGGGGGATTTCACTTTTGACCGCCGCCGAGTTTGGCAAACAACAAGCGGCTGCACACATGTCACGTTTGATGAAAAACGTCATTAGTGTTGCTGTGTCTCCTGAAGATTCCCTGCTAGCTTGCCTTTGCTCAAATAATCTCTGCTAGCTGTGCTTCCTAAAGAATCTCTTCTAACCTGTCATTTCCTAAAGAAGATCTGCAAGCCTGCCCTTTCCTCAAGGATCTCTGCCAGCCTGCTTTTCCCTGAAAATCTTTGCTAGCTTACCTTTTCCTTAAAGAGATAGGGGCGGCATAAGTCAATCGATTACGCGTGGGAAAGAAAATGTCTCTGCGCCTCTCCTCTGGGAGCCCTCTCTCGCGCGAGATCGCCGCGGGACCTGTTGAACCCCCCCATCCCCAAGGGGGGTTCAACAGATGCCGTCCTCATCTCTTTAAGAATATCTGCTAGCATGCCCTTTCCTAAAGAATCTCTGCTAGCCTGCCCTTTCCTAAAGAATCTCTGCTAGTTTCTCTTTTACTTCCTAAAGAATCTCTGCTAGCTTGCCCTGTCTTAAATAATCCCTGCCCGATTGCCCTTCCACGTACTCTGTAATCCGACCCCCCAAAAACGCCCTCAAAATTCCGGAATTAACCGGAACCTCGCGAACCCCGCTTTTTGACACCCTCCAATCGCATTTTCCGAATTTCTGGCCCGGCAAACAGAAAGATAACAGCCTCTGCACCTTCTCTTCCCCCCGCCCCACCTCGCTCACAAAATAAACTTGACCCATTTTACGACCCGGTGACGCTGGCGCGGCCGCTAATTTTTGGTGAATTTTGGCTTTTTGGCTTTTTACAGTAGCTGGCTTTTTGGCTACAGTACCCCTTCTCGTTAATCCAAAAATTACCTCGCGGCACAGCTCTCTCCCCCGGACGGCTGAAGAGATCGGTTGGCTGATTGCCAGCGTTCTAGGGCTACAGTTTTGCCTTGAATGGCGTTTAGCGCCCGCACTCCTGTACTCGTTCGTCTTGTCGATCCTCTACCAGCATCGTATTCCCGTCGGTTTGTGCGATGAGGTCCCTTCTAAAGATCCCTGCTAGGCTGACAGCTCTCCCTCACTATCGCTCTCGCTCTCTCTCACCCTCTCTCTCTCTCGCTGCGTATTTTTGATGACGTAATCGGTTAAGGTTTTTTAAACCATAAAACCAGGTGTTTTCGGAATGCAAACAAAAGCTCTCTCTCTCTCTCTCGCTCTCTCTCTCTCCCTCTCTCACTCTCTCTCTCCATCTCTCTACTTGTGAAGTACGAATCCTTAATAAGCTTTCGCTTTTCAATATAACTCTATTTTTCACGTTTTTTTGGGGGCAAAAACGGTTGGCGGTCACGATTTCGAAAATCACCATTTCGAAAATCACCATTTCGAAAATCACGATTTCGAAAAATCACGATTTCGAAAGACACCATTTCGAAAATCACCATTTCGAAAATTACCATTTCGAAAATCACCATTTCGAAAATCACCATTTCGAAAATTACCATTTGGGAAACAGGATTTAGCAATAGACCATTTCCCAGTCGCAGAAAAAATTGATTTTCGTTGGCTGGTTTGAGGTTCGGGGGTCTATTTTTCCACTGGAGATATGATTAGTTTCATTATAGACACCACCAAAACAATTTCTATTACATCACTAGTCATATCCGAGAAAAACCGTAGTTTTTTGACACTGCAATTTTTATGCCTGTTTGAAACCGGGTCTTTTCGAACTGGGGATTTTTTCGAAATGGTGTTTTTCGAAATGGTGTTTTTCGAAATCGTGACTCTTCGAAATGGTGATTTTCGAAATGGCGTCTTTTCGAAATGGTGTCTTTTCGAAATGGTGACTTTCGAAATGGTGTCTTTCGAAATGGTGATTTTTCGTAATGGTGATTTTCGAAATGGTGATTTTCGAAATGGTGACTTTCGAAATCGTGACAGGGAATCGCAAAAACGGCACATCCGGTTCCCACGCATATCACCTTGAAGCCGGCCGCCCCTGAGCGGGCCGCCTTTTCGAATAATTCCATTTTTAAGGCCGTTTGAAGGGCTTTATGTGTCAGCGCGTCGTACAAGACATTGATCGGGTTTTCTCAGTTTCTCTCTCTCTCTCTCTCTCTCAAAATATGATCCCACTTTCAGCCACCCTCCACAATATGGGCGGCCGACGATGGCGGCCAACCGGCTGGTTCCGAATATTTTCCCTAATTTGCCTAATTTCTACCGTATTTTCCGCCTCTGTACCCCGAAAAACGGCCAACATCCGCAAGTCGACGATCCAGATGATTGGCTACTCGCCGACGAAGGTGGGTAACGAAAAATTTTCCTAAAGAAACTCTGCTATATTGCCTTGGTCTAACCTGGCAGGCTGGCAGAGATTCTTTAGGAAAGGGCAGGCTAGCAGAGAACATTTGACCATTTTCCAGACCGACGACTACGTGGCCGTCCAAATGCCGGCCGACCCCGGGTACATCGTCGGCTTTGAACCCCTCGCCCACGCCGACCGTGTCCACCACATGCTCCTCTACGGCTGCGAGGAGGCGTACAGCGAGCAGCAGTTCTGGAAGGGCATGGCCACCTGTGGCAACGGCGCTTCGCACATTTTGTATGCCTGGGCGAGGAATGGTGGGTTTTTTGGGGTCTTTTAAAGGGATTGGCAGGGCAAGAATCTAACCCAGCTCTCCGGGAGGTGGATTCTGGGCTTTAGGGTCCCTTTAAAAAATTCATTTTTCTTTGATTTAGCCCCGAATCTCAACCTGCCGCCGGGCGTGGCATTTGATATTGGGCACGAGAGCAGCACGATCAAGACGCTGGTGCTCCAGGTGGGTGAGAATTCCTAAAGGATCTCTGCTAGACACCTTTTTCCTAAAGAATCTCTGCTAGCCTTCCTTTCCTAAAGAATCTCTGCTAGCCTGCCCTTTCCTAAAGAATCTCTGCCAGCCTGCTCT